TCACAGGGAAGGTATGCACATTAATCTTCTGTTATTGAATTCATTCATTATGCTAGCTTAATCTTTTTTTGAAATGAGTTATTAATTGGTATCTCATCTATTTCTGCAGATTCCTTATGAGTACCTGACTCCACTACAAGCAGCTGTTGGTGTGGTGCAGAAGGTAAAAATCAGCAGCTTCATTTGTTTTAATCTTGCTTTCTTCTTTGTCCAAAATTCTGTTTCTAAGTGGAATATGCTCATTTTATCCTTTTAATCACATTTGTAAGAACAAGGAGTAGCCTTAACCACATTCTACTGTGATAGAATAACCACATATCTTGGAATCCGTGTCTATTCCATGAAATCATGCAGATGGTTTGGTATATAAATGATGCAAAGAACATACTTTCGTGGAGTTTTGCTTGAACACTAGCGAATATTTAGAATGAGTGAATGACAATGGGATCCCAATGATAATAGATTGGGTATCTTCGCCACAGATCTGGAACTTTCTCACCTCTGCACTGTAAAGAGAGAGGACAGAGGATTGCAGCATTGAGTCCTTCTGTAATGTGTTAAGTTTCGTTCACAGGGATTACGGCCTACAATTCCGAAACATACTCATGCAAGGCTTTCTGAGCTTCTTCAGAAATGTTGGCAGCAGGACCCCGCTCAAAGACCAGACTTCTCCGAAATATTAGAAACTCTTCAGAGAATAGCAGAGGAGGTATGTGTTAATTGTTAAACACCTAATAATTATAGATACTTATAGGAATATGAGCTTATGCTGACGTCAACTCGTGTTACAGGTCGGAGACGAGCACGAGGGGAAGCACAAGGACAGAACACTGGGTGGTTTCTTTTCAGCTTTGAGGGGGCGGAGCCATTGAGACACGGTTGAAGACTTGAAATGTACATGGCCTCGGTCCATCCTTGAAGGACCTGAGCTAGAACCAGCGCCTGTTCCTTGCACGTCAGCACCAGTACACAGAAATACAGAACTGCTGCAGCTGCAGTTGACTAAAGTGGCAATTTTAGCTGCAGCCATCGCTTTCCGCCTATCTGCTTGTTATTCCTGAGTTCCATTACACAATGTAACATAGGAGAGGAAGCTTGGGAACTGTACATCATCATCAGTCTGATTTCTCTAACAGAGTGTAATCTTGCTGTAGATGAAAATAAAAAACCAGATTCAGATTGTGGCATGATTTTTTTAAGATTTCATTCCATCATTTAGCATCTTTTATTTTAGGTGTCGTCATTCTCTTCTGGACATGCTCCATCCCTGCATCTAAAGATATGATTTGGTGTGGTCAGCTCGCGCAGCCAGCGCGTCCACGTCGCCGGCTTTTCGTGGCCGTTCGATCGCCTGCGCGGACGGCCCAGATCGGGCGAGCCGTGGTCATTTTTCGAAAAAACCCTTTTGCTTTTCGGAAATCAATCCGCGATCCAGAGTCCCTCTCAGGATATTTTGCAAGAAACTCCTCAGATTTTTTTGAAATCAACCCGCAGTCCAGAACGGATGCCCTCCGGGTTTTTTGCAAAAAAACCCTTACCTTTTCCGAAAATCGACCCGTGCTCCACAAACCCTCTCACCATTTTTTGCGAAAACCTCTCATTTTTTTTGCGAAAACGTCTTCTTTGATTTTTCTTTTTTTCAAAAAACATCGTTTGGCCAGTGCAACTTTGATTATATCTTTTTTCCAAAAAAAAAAAACGCGTTTGGTAGCTGAACAACAGAACAAGGCACCTGCATCTGCATGGGCTGCTGCTCAGAACAAAGTTGGAAAGACTAGTGGTGTGGTATGGAGTGAAACAACGCGGCAAACTTGAGTAGGTGAACAACAGAACAAGAACAAGGCACCTGCATCTGCATGGGCTGTGTCTGCTCAGAACAAAGTTGGGTTCTCCTGTGCCAAGTTTTTGTTCCCCAGTTGCCGTGAGAACAAATTATATTAATTTATTCTTAATAAATGGAAAAACATGTGTATAGTCTTCATCGACAGTTCGACACTAATGATTCGAGGAGTGGCACTAGAAAGAGTTAAGACTTGTGATGCCATACTTGCACCGTCCGCGATGCTTTTCTTCTCTTTTGCCTGATGAAAGGGCCCAAGAAACGAATAAAGTCATGTGGGACCACAGTTTCTTTGGTTCGTTCCTTTTGTTCATCACGTGCGACTCTAGTAGAAGCAATCACGAGCAGCTCCAGTAGAAGAAAAAAAAAACACGCCATTGTCCTATACTTCTAACAAAGTTCTGCTAGGATTCTGCTTTTTTTTTTGGGAACAGGTGCTAGGATTCTGCTTTGGCTGAGAATGTTCTTCTGTTGTCAAAAACTCAAAACTACCCCGCAGGGCCGTGGGCAGCAGTCGGCCGGGCCCGCCGGCCCGGTTACGTCTGGACCCACCTGTCGCCCCACTCCGGTCAATCCCCCCTAATCTCGTCGCCGTCTCCGGCGATTTAATCAACCGTAGACTACTTCCTCGGTTCCTCCTCGCCCGTCTCCGGCCTCTGCGATACACGATGTTCTTCTGTGATTCCTGTTCCTCGCCTCCAGCGAGCTCCCCAGCTTGCTCTCTTAACCCTCTCCCCCTGCCGCCACGATGCCGTGCGCCCGTGGCAGAGGTGTTCGGACCGCTCGTCGCCTGCGAGGCTCGGGCTCGCTTCTCGCGTCGCCGCCATACTGTGCTGCTCCTGGTTTGATTCGCAGCTCGTGAAACGTTGATCCGCTCCGTGGACGCCGCGGCGCCGTCCAATGGGGCTCCCGTACATGGGCGTGGCCCCGCATGCGCCCCGGCGACGACTCCGACAAGCTGAGCGAGGTATACTCTCTTGCTCTGCCTAGACAGCGGCTCCTCTACACTCTATTGATACTGATAAATTGTGGGGGTTAGTTTCTGGCTCACTGCTGCCTTTGGGATCGAATGTCTTTTATTCTCACTGGTTCCATACTTCCATGGAAATGGTTCGAAAGGTGCTTTATGTTTTTCTTTGGGGGTTGGTGCTGCCTACTGGGGCACGGCATGGGCTTGTTTCCTCTGGGGATCAGGAAGCATGAAGGTTTGTCTATGTATGATTTTGTGATTCCTGGGCTGATCCAGGTACACTGGCACTGTACACCAATGACCATATATATAGCGAGCATCCTTTGCAGGAACTTTTTTTTTGATCCGTGGTTAACTTTGCAGGGACTGAGGGTCTATGGCTTTTACAACAGCTACCAATACCCATGCAGAGTTTGCTGCACTTCCGAAGAATTAATCACCGGAAAATCCTGATCAAGTGAATCAACTTCTCTGAAAATGTTGTAGACTCATATCAAGGTTGGAGGGGAGGTTCATGTTAATGAACTAAGGCTAACTAACATAAAAGAATGGGGATTTTCTCTTCTTGTCAGCCAATGGGACAGGTTGATGAAAAATGAGGGATAGCATAATGAGAAAAATACTGGGGGTCATTCTGTAACGAGGAGACACTGTAATGGTGAAAATGTCAACAGTTCCACTCACCCTGATTGACATGATGTTTTGAGCAATGATCAGTGCCAGTTCCTTGGTATTCCAGGCTCCAATGCCAGTACAATATTGATTAAGAACTGCTGCAGTTTACTTAAACGGACAATTTTTAAGGCTGTAATAACTCGTGTACATCAGAAATTGTCATAATTTTTTTGTACTTGTTACTTCTGTGTTTCATAGTATATGTAATATAGGAACATAATTCTTGTTCTTGTAAATTGTAAACAATTGTTTTTTAGCAGGTTGTGATCCTTTCATAGCTGAAAGAATAATCTTAATTCTGGGTGTGTTATGATTCTTCCGGAGTCCATTTATTTTTTAACATGCTGTCTACAAATTTGAATGCTCTGCATTCGTTCTGGGCATGCTATTAATTGTACTGTTTGAGATGCCCACGTTATGTTGTTCTTTCTCATTCATTTGCTTTTGAGAAGGAAAAGGCTGCAATACCTTAGTCCCTCATGCTGAACAAGGCACCTGCTGCTCAATTCTACTCTGAATGAAGATGAGTAAAGTTGCAAGCTCTCTTGTGCCCAGATTTTGTTCCTGCACTGCTGTGAGAATCGAGATACATGATATATTTTTGTATTGGCGTGAAATGACGCTCATCCACCTTGTTCGATGGGTTGTTGTATTCTTAGAGGTATGCTCCTGATACTAAACTTGCATTATTAGCATTACTTTTCTGCTTCCATAATAGTCCTTGTCCTCTAATGAAAGGTCCAAGGAATGAATAAAGTGGTTATGCAGCTGAGAGATCAGTGCCTTTAAGCTTTAGCTCTTCGCATCTGTCCTCTGATTGCATTGTTTATAAGGTATGCCTCCAGGATTTTATTATAGTTCTCTACACTTCACTGCTGAGGTTGTGCATTCTGCCCGAATTTCAGATAAAACTTCTTGTAGATGATGACACAACATACATTTATTGTTCTATAATCTTGTGAGGCCGCTAATAGTTCTTTTTAATTGATGAAATAGAGCACTCTTTTTATTTCATAGAAGAAACATTACATCGTCCATAAGTGCCCAATCTCATTTAGTGTGTGCTCTAATACACTCCTTTGGTTTACCAAACTAATATTTTTAGATATGATGCAGCTTTTCTATTACTTCATCGATCTTTACATAGTTTTGACAGTAATTAGTTAATTATAAGGTGCCCTATGATCAGGTTCCTGAAAATATTGACCATATATAAATTTCTTAGTGGTAAAATTCGATTAAGAAGAGGGGTTGTGCCATAGCTTAAAGGTCAACTGCTACCCACTCAGATTTTGTTTGCTTTAGCTTTTGCTTTTCTCTTTATTTTTTCTTACCTCTTTTATCTATATAATTCTGTTCTGTTCTCATCCTCCATTGGTTTCCTTTTCTGTTCACACTTTAAGCATCTTCTCTTTGCTTGACAAGAGAGGCAGGGAACCTAATATATTTGAGAACGAGGAAGTTATATGTTTACTTTCACACCATTTCAGCATTGTAACCTATGTTCATGCCACCATGGTGGGGCTCGGTATTGGAGCACCAATTGTGCAGGTTTATCATGAGAAATCTTTTATCTTACCTGATGTTTCAAGGGTGCTTGCATGCCTTTATGAGAAGGATGTCAAGTTTGAGACTCACACAGCCTCTTACAAGAGCTTACTCAGACTGCAGGTATTTGGAGTCTCCAATTCTAGTAATTTTTGTGGCAGGAAGAATATGTTCGAAGATGTGAGCAATTAATCTTCTTATTGTATTTTCATTCTCTGCTTACTGCAGGCATCATCACATGCTCCAGTTCCATTCTATGATGGCCCTACATTTCTAGAAGGTAATACTTCATTTTTGGCAAAATGACTTACCATTCCATGTTGGACCTTCATTCCTTGGAGCTTATATATTCTTTTTTTTTTCTCGAACACTTGAGCTTATATTTTCTACAGCTGGGTAATATTCAAGTTTGCATTCGTTAAAAAAGGCAAGTTAGCTTGGTACTAGGAGGTAGGTTGTTTATTAGTTATCGCTAGGAAATTGTCAGAAGGTTGTATATATGGCTTGCCTGGCATAAATTTAGACCAATCTATTAACTTATTGGCATTTCTCACTTAAAAATATATTCTTGAGCCTTCTTGTTCACCAAAAAAGGAGAGGGGTTTTCATCATATCATGCCACTAACACCCTTCCCCAGACCCCGCACAGAGCGGGAGCTCTCTGCACTGGGTACGCCCCTTTATGTACGAAGTGTGTGCCAATCATTTTGATATTGTAGCTAGTATCCTGCTTGTTCAAAGTGTGTGCCAGTCAGTTCTCTAAAATAATGCTTGGTGGCAGCAAATTAGCCAATGCACTAAGTCACTATCAGTAACTAGCATTTGTCCATAAAAATCTTTACTGAACTTGTTTATAAGCTGGATCCGTGCAAGCTTTACTTAAATGTTCCTTTGCGGCAAACATTGGCCAGCAATGAAATCAGTAACGTGTAAACACATGGATGCAACTCTGAGAGGGCATAAGAATTGGCCTTCAGTTGTGAATGAAATTTGACAATACATTTATATATCCTATACTCCATTCCAAATTATGTCCTAAGTCAAATTTCTCTAACTTTGACCAAGTTTATAGAAAAATACAAAAACATCTATAATGTCAAACTAGTTTCATTAGATACATTATGAAATATATCTTGATAGTGCATCTATGATATTGTAGATGTTAATGTATTAATATACTTGGTTAAAGTTAAACAAGTTTGACCTAGGACAAAGCTAAAATGACTTACAATTTGAAACGGAGTGAGTAGATAATATTGCCTGATTATTGTTCTTTTGAGATTTCAAATTTGGGCATATACTTGTGAATAGCAGCTGAATGACAATAGCTTAATACATTTTGATCATGTAGAACAACTGGCAAGTTTGCATTAACTTAGCTCTACAATTTCCTAAAAGGTAAAAATATATTATATTCAAAATCATTTTTGTTGTCTTATATGCGGACATGCAGTTGGATGCTGTAGGATTAAAATAAAATATGTGCCAACAAAGTGTATAACTAATATGATACTGTTTCCTTGTCACAAAATGTAAAACATTGTATCTTCCTTTTTCGATTAACATGCAAATATTAGGATATTGCTTTTAGTGTGTGGAGTTATCGATAGACTTAGACTAGCAACATGTTACTCTTTGACATCCCAGGACACAATATGTTTTCAGTAACAACGTGCACATCCCCACGAATGCTGTAAAAGTTGAGTCTTCATTTGCTGAAGTCAGAAGGAAACTTTTAGCAGTATTCTCCAGTTGCGAATGCAGTTAATTTGACAGCACTCAGGATTTTAGAAACAAAACTATAGTTGTAAACATACAAAATAGGGGAGGGAATGAATTCATGATGAACTGCCCATAATAGTTAGCTCTTATTAGGTGATAATGATATACATGAAGTGTTAGGGATCCATTTCTTGCCAGTCAACAGAAAAGCGGGTTCAGAAAATCAGCAGTACTGAAATGAAATTTAAATTTTATGCGCTCATTTATTCAAACTTCTTTTGAGAGTTCTAATACATTCTTCAAGTGATAAGAACCACTCTGTACTTTACTTGCAATATTGAAGGTCAGCCTTCATAAAAAATGTAAACATGTGCTTCACTTAAAGCTGATGGTTCTGCCTTCTATTTTCAGAATCCAGAGAAATCTGCCGTTATATAGCAGAAAAGTACGAACATCAAGGATATCCGTTCCTCCTTGGGAAGGATGCCCTTGAGAGGGCTTCAGTTGAGCAATGGCTCCACAATGAGGAGCATGCTTTCAACCCTCCAAGCCGGGCCTTGTTTTGTCATTTGGCCTTTCCCCTGGGTGAAGAAGAAGATGATGATATTGACATTCATACAAGGAAGCTAGAAGAGGTTCTGGAAGTTTATGAGCAAAGGCTCAGTGACAGTGAATTCCTAGTTGGAAACAAGTTCACTCTTGCTGACCTTGTTCACCTGCCAAACTCCCACTATATCAAAGCGTCTAACAAGTTTCTTTACCTTTATGATTCGAGGAAAAATGTAAGGAGGTGGTGGGATGCTATTTCTGATCGGGATTCTTGGAAGAAAGTACTGGGGTATATGAAGGGGGTGGAGGAGCAGAACAAACAAGAAGAACTCAAGAAGCAGCAGCAGCAGGAGGAGGAGGAGGAGGATCCTAGAACCTCTGCTGACTCAATTCGGCTAGACCCTAGAAAGCAGATCAGAACAGAGCCTCGGACAATATTGGTTCCTCCTACTGATACCGTGTCATCATCTTCCATAGTTCCTCGAACAAAGAAGCCTCTTCCTAGTGATACTTCCCCTGATGAATTACTGATATCCTCAAGCCATAGTACTCCTGCTGCTGATAAAACTTCAGCTGTCCAAAGCAAGGAAACTACCATCTTTACTAACCCTCAAGAAACACCACCAACCTCAGTTCAAAGTACTCCTGTCACTTCTAAAAAACACTCTATTCCTGTCCAAAGCACTAAACATGCTACTTCCCCAACCACTGCCAAGAAGCCCCCAATAACTGATGCAGCCAAGTCCAGGACCAAAGATGCTTCGATCCTCGAATCAAGTTCATCCAAGGATGTTTCTAGTGACCTTGATGTGTTTGATCACTACCCAAGCCATACTGATGTAGATACACCATATATTGAACCTACTACACGAAAAACTTCAGAAACATTGGATGCATTCCCTGGGTCCAACATTGGCACTGGTTATACTAAAACCAGTTCTATATCAGCCAGAGAAGAGCCTGACCAACCCACTGCATCTGATTTCTACAAGAGTGACAGCACAGGCACCAGTGTTGATTCTCGGTTCAAAGAATCAGTTCCATATTCTGGCCGTACTCCACCAGAACTTGAACCTACAGATACTTCTGCTAGCAAGCTCCACACAACTGATGTTCATCGTAGGCTCCAGGTTGAGCAGTGGCATTCTGCTAAAACTGGATTAAATGACCTAAAGCATGATGATGCTGATCATTTAGTGTCTACTCAACAAGGAAAACCAAGAAAAGATGTGCAGCAGTATCCATCACAAGATTCAGAACAGGCAACCTCACATTCTGTTCCTCAAGAACCAATGAGTCGAGATGTCTTGTCTCAACTTGAGGATCGTGCATCTTCCGATCAGAGAGGTGCTTTAATGCCCCCTTCTACACAAGAACATGGTGTTACTCCATCAAGGGAAGCAGCAGCTAAAGATGCTCGCAGGAGAATTTCATCCCAAGCAGCGTATCCAGGTGGTCAAGATACCAGCAAGCAACCTAGAGACCATGGTTTTGTACCAAGGGAGGGAGAACCACAAGATGCTAGGGAGATATTTGATGAATCACAGGCTCCAGATTCCACTATATCCAGTGAGAGATTTTCATATACTTCTCAATCTTCTCTCCCAAGACAAGATTTAGATGGTGCTCGTCTTGCTACTGCACCATTTGAAACGAGATATCCTGGAGCTGAAGATACTTCCAAGCAAGCTAAAGACAAAATTTCTACCCCATGGCAAATGACAGACCATGATGCTGGAGATGTCAAAGAAGAAACAAAAGTTTCTGAGTCTTCATCATTCCAAGTGGAACCTTCATATTCTGAGAGGGCCGATGCTCCTTCATGGAAGCAAGAAACAATTGATGACATCTTCAAAGAAACAAGATATCACAGTGTGGCCCCACCTTCCCAAACAAGATATCAGACTCCTCCATCCAAAGCAAGATATCCAACTGCTGAAGATGCCAGCAAGCAAGCAAGAGGGACTGCGCCAACACCTAAGAAGAAAGCTGCCCAAGATGATAATGACACCTCTGAAGAATCAAAGACTGCCGATGAAGTAGCATCAACTGAGCAGCCTTTAGATGCTTGGAGATCACCTGTTTCTCCACGAAGACAAAAGGTCGAGGATTCTTCTAGGTCAGATACATCATTCCAAAAGAGAGATCCTTATGATGAAGAAGACATACAAGTTGCCAACACTGCTTCTGTGTCATGGCAAATTGCACCTGATGGTGATAAAAATATCTTTGAAGAAACAAAACTTCCTGACTCTACACCAACAAGTGCAAAACCCGTGTACACACCGCGAGCTCCTTTTCCTCCTCCAAGGCAAGCAGAAGTTAAAGATGCTAAGGACAAAGGCAGACAAAGTAGAGTAACCATTCCTGAATCACAGAAAATGGTGTCAGAGGATGCCCAAACCACACATGGAGAAAGGAAGACTGGTACACCTGGAGAGCAATCTTCAGATCGTCTGCAAGCTATTCCTCAATCAAGGCCACCAGCAGCTAAAGGTTTGTCTACCAAAGAAGAAATAACCAATGAACAGACAGTGGTGCCACCTCTATTGAGCAATGAACCAACATCTCGAGTTCAACCTGCCTCTGAATCCTTGCAAGAAGTAGCTTCCCGTGGAGGTTTGTCTACCAAACCATCCACCATTGAACAATGGCAGCGTGCAACTGTGCCACTAAATGACATAACTTCTAGTTCTGGTGATGGTGAAATTGGATCAGAGACACCTGGTGTCCAAAGTGCTTCATCATCATTCCCAGGAGCTTCCACAGCTCGCCATGCCACTAGTGATGATAGGTTTGGTAGGCAGTCGATTATTGATGAAAGAGTTGGAGAACCAACAAAAATACTACCAACTCCATATTCTGCTCCAGCACATACCAAGAGAGAAACTCCTGATGGTCATGAAATTGTTGATTCAGAGCTTGTCAGCACACCTGACAGACATATATCAGAGGCTGCAAAAATTAGACAGGATCAAGCCACAGTCCATGAAGATGTTCATGACGACAATTTGTCAGCTCATGATGTGGCTAAAGATACCTTCAAAGAAGCAAAGGTTGCTGAGTCTACACCATCTAGTGCAAAACCTATGTACTCTCAACAGCCTGCTCCTACTCCAAGGCATGCAGAAGTGGAAGATACTTGGGACAAAGGGATGAAAGGTAGAGAAGCTGTTCCTGACCGACAACAAATGTTGGAAAAATGGGCAGGTACAGCCGGAGAGCAAGTTTCTGATCGTTGGAAAGCAAGTGCTCCATCAAGACAGGCAGCAGCTGAAGATGTTCGTGGTGCAACTGGTGATACAATACAGTCTCCAGATGTTCTTGACCCTTCCAAGAAATCTAGAGGTGCCTTTGAAGAAGCTAAAGGCCCTGGCTCTGTTAAGGAGGAGAAGACGTCCTCTATTTACCAGAAGAAGCCTCTGGTGGCACAAGACAGTCAGGAGCAAGCTCAAACCATCCCAGCTGGTGAGAAAGCAGATGGTTCTATACGAAAGCATCAACAAGCTTCTGATGCTCCAACTACTTTTGTTGAGAAATTAGATGCTTCAGAACCAGCAAGAGTAAAAACTCATGGTGACTTCAGTGCTGAACAGCCATCTAGAAAAGACACCACTGATGACCAGAAAGTGGCACCGCCTCTTTCGACTAGAGAACTAACTTCCCAAGTCCAACCTCCCTCTGAACCATCGTATGATGCAGCTCTCCACAGAGATTTGTCTAGCAAACCATCCACCATTTATCAATGGCAACTTTCATCTGTGCCATTACATGATGTGACTAGTAGTTCCGGTGATGAGGTGGCCAAGTCGACCGTTGATGAGAAGCCAACACCAATGAGTCAGCAAAAATCTGATGAGCAAAGAGCAGAACCACCCGTACCAATAGAAGCAGAAATATCTGATGTTCAACAAGCTTCACCATCATTTCCAGGAGCTTCCATGGATGATCATGCCACTATCGATGATGAGTTTGCCATGCAGTCAATTATTGATCAAAGAGTTGGAGAACCAACACAAATGCAAACATCAAGTCCAGATGCTCATCCTGCTTCAGAACCTACTAAGAGAGGAACTCCTGAAGGTCATGAAATTGGTCATTTAGAGCTTGTCAGTACACCTGGTGGACAAATATCAGAAGCAAAAAAAGCTAGAGATGATCCAGCCAGAGCAGATATTCATGATGGTCATAGTGCAGAAGAGCAATATAAAAAATACACTGTCGATGATCAGAAAGTGGCTTCATCTCTATCAAGCAAAGAACCAACATCCCAAGTGCAACCTGCCTCTGAACCATTACAAAGAGCAGTTCCTGATGGGGATTTGCCTAGCAAATCATTCACCATTGATCAATGGCAACGCACGGCTGCTCCATTACATGGTGTAATTACTGATTCTGGTGATGATGAGGCAGCCAAGTCTTCTAACAATGGTCAAAAGGCAAGACTGATGAGTCAAGAAGCAACTCCAAGTTCACAGAGTGTCAATCAGATGGCCAAACAATCTGGTGAGCAAAGCGTCGAACCACCTGTACCAATTGTTGCAGAAGCATCTGATGTTGCACGTGCTGCACCGTCGCTCCCAGAAGCTGCCAGGGCTGATGGTGCCACTATCAGTGACAAGTTTACTGAGCAGTCCAACATTGATGAAAGAGTGGGGAAACCAAAACAAATGCAATCACCAATTACAGCTGCTCGTCCTGATTCAGCACCTACCCTGAGAAGAACTCCTGATAGTCATGAAGCCGGTGAGCTTGTCAGCGCACCTGAGGGCCAAAGATTAGAGGGTGCAAAAGCTACTCGAGATCCTGCCACAATCCACGAAGATGTTTATGATGCCAGTTTGTCAACTCATGATGCAGCTATTGATGAAAAGACAGCAACGGATCATGCTAGTGGTGATGAGGTTGTCACAGGATCTTTACATGATCACCAGACACCGCGACCTGCATCAATTCAAGTACAACCAACTGTTGAGACTCCACATGACTCTGATTCATTCCAATATGTACATACTGGTGACTCGGGAAAAGCTGAATTGGCAAAACCAACTGTAACTGATCAAGAAGCAACAGTGCCTGCAGCTGGCCCAACATCAGCGGATCCCCAACGTGCTGACATCATACCAGCTGGAGTAGCCCATTCTGAACAGAAATCCACTCCGTCAGGTAACTGATTTCTTGTGTATAAAAACTAACTGCTGACTAGCCTAGAGAAAATTTGCATCATGAATAGTTCCTCAAAAGTGACAGTTTGCTTTGTGAATTTTAGATAAAGGATCAGCTCGTGCTGCACAACATCCTTCCCCTGTTGAACCAATAAAGGCAGACAGTAATGTTTCTGCAGCTAATTATACTAATGCGCCGCAAATGATTTTTCGGCAACAGGCCAGACCACCTGCACCGAGCACAATAGCAATTCGAACCCCAGATACCCAGGGTGTTATAGGGAAAATCCAGGAGGTAACTCCTGATAACCGCAGCACTGATGACTCAGGAAAACCATTTGTTCCAAATCAAGAACATGTTTCACATGCATCAGAAGCAATCCCTGGTCAAGAAGAAATGACATTTCCACAAGGTGCAAGAGTTTTTCCAACGTCAGATACCCAACTTTCCTCGGCAGATGTTCATGAAGTCACCCCCGATGGCCAACTGACTGTTGAGTCAAGTACTCCATTGGTTTCAAGTGGAAAACAAGGTTCTCATGTCAGATCTCCTTTCAAACCAGGTGAAGTAGGTCCTGCTGAAAAGAAATTTGTCCCGTCAGGTAATTAGTTTCTCTTTACATGAGAGAAAAACATATTGTTGATTCCATTCCACCAAAAAAACAAATCCTGCTACACCTTACATTGCTTTCTCTATTTTAGATGAAGAATCACCTCATTCTTCAGAAGAGTCGATCTCTGGTGAACCTAGGAAAGAGAAAACTGTTATTCCCACTGCTGAACAGACCACGGCACAGCCAACAATCATTGGTCGACAAGACATACCAGACAGAAAACAGGCTCTGACATCAGAAGACACACTTAATAATACAGCTACCCATCACGATGTTCACCGTACTGGTACCATTGAACCTGCCAGAAGACCTTTATCAGTTGAAGGGGAAGAACTAATGCCCGCAACTCAAGCACCATCACCTAGTGTGGCTAGAGACTCCTTCCACACTGAGCTGGAAAATGTTCAGTCAGTGAAACCATCAGCAACTCCAGATGCTCGTGACATCACACCTAGTAGTGCACCTGGTGAAGCAGCGCTTGCTGAGCAAAAATCTGCCTCATCAGGTAACTATCGCCGTATAGTGCACTAGCTATAGGCCGTGACAAAACTCACTATTAATATCAAACTTTCAGGTCAAGGTTCTGCTGATCCTGCACAACCATCTTTCTCTCTTGGCCCAAGGAATGAGGAGATTAGAGATTCGTCTCCTTCAGCTATGCTCATTTCCTCTACTGATCCAAGTAAAGGAGATCCTATGGTTGCTGTACGTGATCAAGCCAAGGATTCGCAAACAACTCCTGGCCAACAAGACATATTGTCTACCGAACATCCTTCAGGGAAGGTTCAGGAAAATATACCTGGTGATAACTTGGGCAAAGCTAAACCTTCAAGACCATCCTCTGCTATTCAAGAAGGCAAACCTTCAAAAGCATCAGCTTCGGGCATACAGCTTGGTAGTGTACCAAATGAATTATCCGTTGATGAACAGAAGTTTGCTCCACCAGGTAATGAAGTTCTTTCACATATGGAGTTTTGACAAATGATGCATACTCTAGTAGGACATAGTTATAGTTAATTAACTGCAGCAGGAATACCCTTAAAAACACAGTTAATCCACTTGTAAGTTTGTTTCCCATATTTCAGAGCCAAGGAGCAAGGAGATTGGAGATTTAGCTCCTTCCACACAGTTAGATTCCACTACTGATCCGAGAAATAAAGATGTCATTGTTGCTGCACCAGATCAAACCACGGACTCCCAAACTACTCCTGGGAGACAAGTAAAATTTTCTGCACCAACCTCTCAGGGTCCTTTAGGGAAACTTCAGGAAGATGAACCTGCTGATGACTCAGGTGAGAAAAAGTCTTCCAAACCACCCTCTGTTGTTCGAGAAGGCAAACCTGCTGCAGCAGTCCCAGTATCAGCTCCGGACACACAACATGGTGCTGCGCCAGATCAAGTTGCGGTTGAACAAAAGTTTTCTCCGTCAGGTAATGAAGTTCTTTCCAGTACTGACTGGACAAACAGTGCGCATTCTAGTAGTTATACCCTTCAAACCAACTGTCCTGCCACCAGTAAAGTTTATCTTCCATTTCAGGTCAAGATTCTGCCCATTCTGTGCAGACGTCTTTCTCTACTGAACCAACAAAAGAAGACACTGTTGTTGCTCCAACAGATCAAACCAGCACACTTGAAAGAACAGTTGATCAAAATTACATGACAACTGTTGCAGACAAAGCAAAAACTCCCTTCTCGGGTACTCCTGATGCTTCAAGTAAAACTCAGAAAAGTATCGAGGATGATCACATTGATGAGAAACTTCCAAGCCAGGGGCAAGTTTCTCCTGATAGGCATGTTTCTGAGTCACCCCAAGGACGTAGCCCTGAAGCCCACAGTGATGTTGTTGATAAGGAGACAACGCTTGGATCTAGCGAAGCAGAAACTTCAAAAACTGGACCTGGTTCAACATCAATCAGTGCTGATGGTCGTCTTAGCAGCAGCGACATGCCAGCAGCAGGTTCTTTGCCAGAAACACAGGATCTGCAGGACTCTGCATCTGCCCAGAATGTACTTACTGATTCCTTAGGAAAAATCGAGTCGCCAGGACACGTTTCAACTGATCAAGCCATGGCACCTACAATGATCCCATCTTTACCTTCAGTTGCTCCCCTAGGTACTGTACCAGGTGAGGAAATCTCTAATTAGCAATAATTGAGTCCACATAAGTGTGCTTCATTATTATAGGCAAAAAGTTTACTTCATAATTCTTTAGCATTCTGTTGTGGACCTGTGGGCAAAATCATTTGTGAAATAACGTTAAACTATAGATAGTCATCGTGTAAGAGATTCACTGTTCTGACTCCTACGTGGTGATACACTGATACCCTTCTCATTCAACGATTTGAACCCACACTATCTGAGCCATAGAGCTTAAGTTTTTGAAATTGATACAACTGGTGAGGCCACTGTCTTCAAATTACAGGTACAAATTCAGTCCAGCCGCCACGGCAAGCTTCCACAACATCTACAGTGGACCTAGAATCTGTTCCAGACACCCAGAATGGTATCCCACAGGGCAAAGCCACCCCAGGTGAACAGAAATCTACTATATCTGGTAATGCTGTTGTTGTTTTCTCTTTATAATTAACTAAAACTTTACCTTCTTCGTGGCCAAGAGAAATAGTTCTGGGCATACTCTGAGGTCAATTTCCTTTATTTCAGATCAAGAACCCGCACATACTACAGAACGCCCTTCCTCCACTGAACCAAGGAAAGAAGAAGCAAATACCGCTGCAGGTGATCAACCAAATGTAACACAAGGTCCAGAGACAACTGTTCGACATCAAGCCAAGGCACCACCACCAGATTCAAGAGAGGCTTTACAGAAATATCAGCAACCCTCTCATGCTGTGCTTCCTTCTGACATACGTGACGGACCTACTCCTGGAGTGCGCAGTGCCATTGTTGATAAGGAGACAACACAAACTTCAGTCAATGAGCCTAACTCAACACCAACCCGTGGGGATGTGCTGCCTACAAGATCTGTACAGAATCAAGAAGCACAGCCTCCAGCAACTCAAGAACCAACTTCTCAGGGTCTACAAGACTCAGCATTTTCCCAGAATGATTCCTCTGGAAATATAAAGTCACCAAGACAAGCCTCAACTGATCAAATTGTGGCACCTGCGATAAACTCTGCAGCACCAACAGGTGCTCCACGAGGTACTGAACCAGGTGAGGCAATCCCAGATGAACAGAAATTACCCAGCAATTATTTCAGCTCAAGATTCGGTGTGCATAGTTCTTCTGTTAATAATAGGGTTGTTTCTCACATAACAGGTCCAAATTCTTCTCAATATGTACAGTCCCCTTTCTTTACTGAGCCAACAAAAGAAGACACTGTTGTTACTGCAGCTGATCAAGCCGAGAACATGCAAACAATAACTCATCAACAAGCCATTACACCTGCTCCAGACACAGCTAAACCTCCATTCCCAGGTGCTCGGGATGCGTCAAGGAAATTTCAGGAAAGTACTCCTGATGATGGGCCAGTGGAAGATTATTCTCCTAAGCCTGCAGCACATACAAAGCCCCCTGCAGCAGCTCTAGATGTATCACCACCGTATGCCTCGAGCAAGGCTAAATCAACTGGGCAAGGAGCCAAGCCACCAACAGGGTACCAAGCATCTTCTCCGGAAACTCAGCTTGGTTCCTCACAAACACAAGGCGAAGCTGCCCCAGCAGAACAAAAATTTGCTGTATCAGGTAATGTTTTAGTACGTTTCCTGTTGGTTAACTAAAGGTGCACCTTTTTTTTTCCGGTTTAGTAGAAAAAAAGGGGATACTAAAATAGAACTACTCTTTTCATTTCAGATGAAAAATCTGTCAATGTCTCAAAATCAGTTGCCTCTGCTGAACCAAGGGAAGAAGATACGGATGCTGCCACTGCTGATCAAACGAGTGTACCACCGACAAATGTTACCCGTCAGGTCACAAGCTCAACACCAGATGCTAGTGACGCTTTATCAAGAGATCAGGAATCTTCTCCTGACGATGGTCAGATCAGCAATTTGGGAAGCCCACTTATTGCTAGCCAAGAAGAAGCCTCTCGTGCTGGACGTGCTTCTGAAGGATCTACTCCCAAAGTGCATAGTGCCATTGCAGATGAGAAGAGGACACTTCCATCTAGCCAGGCACAAACTTCAAGCACTGGGCCTGATTCAGCACAAATTGGTGGTGATGCTCGTCTTAATGGTGCTGGTACGCCAGCCACAAGCTCTATGGAGAAGCAAGAGGCAGAACCTCCTGCAGCAACACAAGCACCAACTTCTAAGGGTCTGCAAGATTCTGGAAATATCGAGTCACCAAGACAAGCCTCAACTGATCCAACCGTGACACATGCGATGAACTCAGCAGCACCATCCGATGCTCCTGAAGGTACTGAACCAGGTGAGGCAATTCCCGATGAACAGAAATTCACCCGACTATTAATTTCAGGTTAATATTCAGTATGCATAGTTCTGCTGCTAATAAGGCCGTTCCTCATTATCACAGGTCCAGATTCTTCTCGATCCGTACAGACCCCTTTCTCTACTGAGCCAACAAAAGAAGACACTATTGTTACTGCAGCTGATCAAGCCGAGGACATGCAAACAATAACTCATCAACAAGCCATTACACCTGCTCCAGACACAGCTAAACCTCCATTCCCAGGTGCTCGGGATGCGTCAAGGAAATTTCAGGAAAGTACTCCTGATGATGGGCCAGTGGAAGATTATTCTCCTAAGCCTGCAGCACATACACAGCCCCCTGCAGCAACTCTAGATGTATCACCACCATATGCCTCGAGCAAGGCTAAATCAACTGGGCAAGGAGCCAAGCCACCAACAGGGTACCAAGCATCTTCTCCGGAAACTCAGCTTGGTTCCTCACAAACACAAGGCGAAGCTGCCCCAGCAGAACAAAAATTTGCTGTATCAGGTAATGTTTTAGTACGTTTCCTGTTGGTTAACTAAAGGTGCACCTTTTTTTTCCGGTTTAGTAGAAAAAAAGGGGATACTAAAATAGAACTACTCTTTTCATTTCAGATGAAAAATCTGTCAATGCCTCAAAATCAGTTGCCTCTGCTGAACCAAGGGAAGAAGATACGGATGCTGCCACTGCTGATCAAACGAGTGTACCACCGACAAATGTTACCCGTCAGGTCACAAGCTCAACACCAGATGCTAGTGACGCTTTATCAAGAGATCAGGAATCTTCTCCTGACGATGGTGAGATCAGAAATTTGGGAAGCCCTCTTATTGCTAGCCAAGAAGCCTCTCGTGCTGGACGTGCTTCTGAAGGATCTACTCCCAAAGTGCATAGTGCCATTGCAGATGAGAAGAGGACACTTCCATCTAGCCAGGCACAAACTTCAAGCACTGGGCCTGATTCAGCACAAATTGGTGGTGATGCTCGTCTTAGTGGTGCTGGTACGCCAGCCACAAGCTCTATGGAGAAGCAAGAGGCAGAACCTCCTGCAGCAACACAAGCACCAACTTCTAAGGGTCTGCAAGATTCTGGAAATATCGAGTCACCAAGACAAGCCTCAACTGATCCAACCGTGACACCTGCGATGAACTCAGCAGCACCATCCGATGCTCCTGAAGGTACTGAACCAGGTGAGGCAATTCCCGATGAACAGAAATTCACCCGACTATTAATTTCAGGTTAATATTCAGTATGCATAGTTCTGCTGCTAATAAGGCCGTTCCTCATTATCACAGGTCCAGATTCTTCTCGATCCGTACAGACCCCTTTCTCTACTGAGCCAACAAAAGAAGACACTATTGTTACTGCAGCTGATCAAGCGAGGACATGCAAACAATAACTCATCAACAAGCCATTACACCTGCTCCAGACACAGCTAAACCTCCATTCTCAGGTGCTCAGGATGCGTCAAGGAAATTTCAGGAAAGTACTCCTGATGATGGTCACATTGATAAGCCTCCTCGGGGAAGTTCTTCTGAACCACGTGAAGGACAAACTTTTGGTCCATATCGAACTAACGTTGATGAAAAGACGACCACATTTGCATCTAGCCAAGCAAATATTTCAGATTCTGGGTCTGATTTAGCACGAACCCTTGGTGATGTTGTCCCTTCAATTGTTGAAGGGCCAGCAGAAAATTATTCTCCTAAGCCTGGGGCACAAACACAATTACCTGCAGCAGTTCATGTATCATTTGATGCCTCGAGCAAGGCTAAATCGACTGGTCAAGCAGCCAAGGCACCGACAGGGTACCTAGCATCTTCTCCAGACACTCAACTTGGTTCCTCGCAAACACAAGGCGAAGCTGCCCCAGCAGAAGAAAAACTTCCTGTATCAGGTAATATCTTGGTCTGTTTCCTCTTAGTTGACTAGAGGTGCATTGTTTTTCTGACTTAGTGAAAAAAGGAATACTAAAAAGGAACTATTTCCGCCACAAGTTTTGTGTTTGTATTGACTGTCATTGCACCTTCCTGAATCATTTTAGATCATCCGCAACAAAATCTTTCTAGAAATTTGCCCAGACAGACCTAGTGATCATGTAAGGATCTTGCTTCTTCAGGCTCCTAAATAACAAATTCCTTCTCCCTGAATCCATTCCATCTCAAGCATTGAGCTATATATTATATATAATTTGGGGAAAGTGTTGATCCTTACCACTTACAAGAATACTGCATTGAAATGATAGGTATGCATTCTGTTCATCCTTCAAAAGGAGCTTCATTTGATGTTTTGAGTAATGAGAAAACTACTATGACTCAAGATCAAGTCAACACCCTACCAAATGGCGATCTTTCATCCAACCAAGTACTTGAGCAATCTGAGAGTCTAGACTCCAAAGGAGTAAACTCCGGAAGGAACCTCGAAGGAGCATCAACCAATGAAGAATCCAAGGTGCTGCTACAGTCTGAAGACAATACCCAAGGTCGTGGAACTGATGCACTAAGCTTAGAAACTGACCATCCTAGCAACGGTGGCCTTCCAGCAAATAGCTATCAGAACAACAGTAGCCAATCTCAGGCAGAAGCTTCAAATAAATCTATCGAGCAATCATCTCCTGGTATTCGGAACAAGGACAGTGACTCCAGCAGATTGGATGACTCAACTGATCCCACCAAGCCTGAGACTTGAAAAGCTAAGCCCTGGTAATTGGTAAACCTCTGTTTTATGGTTCATCGACCAACACATTATGTTGGAATGCACTACTGAATAAAGGCCAAGCAAGAGCAAGTGTTTTGTGAATTCATCTTTTTTCAATTTATCCTTTTTCCTTGTGTGCTTATCCGTTGTGAGTGAGTGAGTCTAACAAGGTCAGCTCTGCTACCATCCTTGGGTTGATGCCCCTGTATTGTACTTTACATATATATTCTTGTGTTGTTCCTGTCCAAGTACATTTTTACCCTGATTTTGAACAATGAGTGAGAATGCAATGATGTCGCCATTCTTGTATATTAGCACTTATGTTTTTAACAGCCCAATAATCAGTGTGTATTCACACTGTTCTCTGCAACTGCTAGTAGTTCTGTAGCTGTCATTTGAAAATAATGATGCTTTCGGTTATGAAGTATAGTTGTCCAAGCCCTTCTCTAGTTTGGATGTGCGTGTCCTCGTGCTTCCTTCTCTATGAAATATGTGCCAAGGCATATTCGCAGAAAAATTGTGCTTGTGGCTCTTGCAGTGAGATGAAGTGGGTTGGGTGGGGGGGTGGAGGGGTGGGGTAGGGCATCCATGCAATTCATCTGCACTCTACCCTTTCGAAACTGCATACTTCAGGTATCGTTTAATTGCTGCATGCGCCTCTTGCATCTTCTCTTTTAAGTCTTGGCCTCTAGCATAATACTCCCTCCATTTCAAATCACAAGGCATTTTAGCTTTTTTTTAGACTAGTTAATATGCACGTGCGTGACACGCACGTGCCTCGAAAAAAATTGTTGTTTTTGTTGTCATTTTCTAGCTTGTTTGTAGTTATCAACTTATCCTAGTATTTTCAAGGTTTTTTGAAACCAACATTTGTCATTTTCTAGCTTGTTTTTTGTTATCATCTTATCCTAGTATTTTCAAGTTTATTTGAAACCAACATTTTTTTCATTATTTGGAACTATGTTCAAGTGCTAGTGGAGCGTTATATAGCTTGGATGTGTGGTAGAGTGAATGTAGCCACTAAGTGTAAATTTAGGCAGGGCAGGGGACTACTTGTATTTGTAAGTTTTATTTCATTTTGAATATAAATTCATTTATTTTTCGATCCTTCGTTCCTATATACGGATCGTACATCATTCGTTTGCATGCGTGGTCCCACCAAAAGTAATGTAATATATTAATTAATTAATTAAATTAAAAGCAAGACGGATCGTACATCATCTGTTTGCATGAATGGCCCAACCAAAAGCAATCTAATAATATATTATTTAATTAAATTAATTAAATAGCAGAGACATGTGAAGACTTAAGTTTCCTGATTAAAAGCAATCTAATCTACCGATTAATAAAAGCAATATAATCTATTAAATAGCAGAGACACATGAAGCCAGTTTAATCTAAATATATAATAGTTTTTTTTTTTCCGACCGGGGAGATTCATTCATCAAATAGTTCCAGGATTACAATCTGCGATCATCAGGTTCGCAATGCAAGTCGGGCTAACATGCCACGACCCAGACTTTGCATCACCTGTGACCTGTGAGCTACTATATTACATTTCCGACTAATGAAAGAAAATTTAAAAGCTTGAAAGCATAAGCTCAAATCCCGGATCTCCCGCAAGACTGAAACCCCAGCTGATCTCTGATCGGTACCTTTGTTTCACAGGCTCACAAGCTCTTGACAATCAGTTTCCAACCAAACCTTCTGAAAAAATATAAAATAGTACTATCACATATTAAAAAAACATATCTAAAGATAATATTTTTTTTCTCTTTCCGGTGGGGTCAACATCCTTATTTGAGTTGGCCAAGACCCATGTACTCTTATGAGAAACACCTCTTAACAATGCTATATATAACTGGCCATGAGAGAAAAACTGATTCAGGGAGATAAACACCAACATTTGGTATGGTCTGACCTTGGGCTCTATTTATTATCATTGCGAAACTCAATCTTATCGGGAACTGCTTTCGCTTAAACTTGAATTGTAATGAAAGGTCTTCGGAGAGGGACATGGGAATCCTTGGTACGAATACTCCGGTTCATGCATGCTGCTCATTAACTATTTCAGCATCAATTGTATTGTTCCCGAATCCTCTAATGACCAACCTAGTGCCGTTGCAAAGACCGTTGTGAGGATCAAGATTACGCAGTAGGATAATGGCCCTGTTCGCTTCTCTTATAATCCGTAATTTTCAGCTTGTTTTTTTTTCAGCCGAAACAATATTTTTCTCTCATAGCAAATCAGCCGGAATAGGCCAATAGGGCAATCTTTTTAACCTTAAGTTCATGAGGAGGCAACCCATTAGGTGTAATAGAATTTAGAAAATCAAGACGGTAATTATTCCTTGTATCATCATCCGTCGAGTCAAAGCTATAGTATACCTTCTCATTTCCAGGAAACCTCTTGATCATTATTGCGTTCACTGCATCAACATGCTCATTTGGAGTTGAAAGAATCGCACGTTCCCGCATATAATTTGTAGAGGTGCAATTTGCCTCGAGTTTGGGAAACACCTGTCTAATAAGGTTGGCAATTGAATTATCTCTTGAACTTATTTTGCATTCTTAGTGGAATCGTGGCTCCATTCTACGATGATATCATCAGACAATTGAACATAATCGTCACCAAATGTTTTTCCGTTCCGTTCCAAATTCTTAACAGATACTCCGCGAACCAAATATCATTTTTAGCTCGCATGTTTTGGGTGAGCCGAATCCTTCGTACATTGTCCCATATATATGACTTCAGTAAAGTAGCATCAGTGACATGTGCTCTTGTTCCTCGTACCACAACGGGAAGAACTTGCCTGAAGTTACCTCCGAACAACATGACCTTACCACCAAAAGGTTGATTGCAACCTATTATATCTTGTAATGTTCTGTCGAGTGTTTCTACTGCTTGTCTCTTTGTCATGGCTACTTCATCCCATATTACCAAGGCAGCCCTGCGAAGCAATTCTACAATACCACTCTGCTTGGTAAAGTTGCACATAGTGTTATTATCTAGCTTGATGGGAATCTTGAAGCGGGAGTGTGCAGTACGTCCATCAGGCATGATACTTGCTGCAATACCAGATGTGGTTGGAGCAATTGCTATAAGATTCATGGAGCGCACCTTTGCAAGCAAAGCTTTATACATATATGTCTTGCTGGTTCCTCCTGGTACATCAACAAAAAATACATGGCCAACTTTCTTACCCACATGATTCATAATCAAATAGAACTCAGCTCTCTGCTCAACATTCAGTGTTTGTATCATTTTCAGATGTTCTTCTTCATATCCAATATTCAATTCTTCTATAAGCTCTCTATAATGGTCTCTTGACACCTCATCTAATCAAATAAAGTGTTAGGGGTCATGTCAAAATGATGAATAAGAAGCATTAATTTTTTTAATAATGTTTAGTGACATATCAAATTGGTGTTTGTGATGTTAAGGTAAATACAATGTTTATGAATGAAAAAAAAGCTTTTGGGATTTTTTATATTTATCAATTACCTGAGGCATCTAGCTCTGAGAGTCCATAGTTTGTAATGTCTCTACCCATATCTTTAACATATATAGATATATCTCTAAGCACCATTTGTTCAACCATTTTGGAGTTGCCATTTGAGCGACGATAATTGTCAGACATTGAATCAATATGTTTGTCCCATAGTGCTCGGACGTTATTACACTCGCAGAAAACTATGATAGTTGCAAATAGCCTCCTCACACCACAAGACATCTTAAATTATGCAGATTCAGTGAGGCAGTCATCAAGGCTCTTGTCAGTTTCCACATAGCCCAAGGCCTCACAAGCATCTCTAAATGTTGTATATGTAGTTCCATGTCGACTTCTAAGATGCTCGAATGAAGTTGCACCACTCACATGGTTTAGAAGCACACGGAGATAGTATTGCTCACCTTCAGTAGGATGGGCATACACCAGTCTTCCAATCTGACATCCTTTTTCTCTTGGCTTCCAAAACTTTTTTTGACTTTATCCAAGTGAAGTGCTCAGGGAACTCTCTATATAAATACTTTTGTGCATTAGGATTATACATGTTTGTGCTGAAATACTCTGTAAGCATGGACCTCTGAGAGTTAGGATTTTGTACAACATTGTTCAGATCATCCCTAGCTTTGTAGACAACCATATGTTTTCCTGGAAGGTGAACTTGCATTTGTAACACAGAAGGTGACATATCATACAAAGAAAACCCGTATAATCTATAGATTGCCTCTATAGCTGTTATACACCTTCCATCTCTATACTGCTTAATCTCATTAATAACAAGTGGTTGCCCATCCATATTTGCCCGAGCTTGATCTATGGAAATGGAAACACGATCGTGGCCCTTAAAGACATACTTGTATAGATACTTGGCACAGTTTATGCTGCTGCAAACCTCTACATTAATATGACAATTATACCTCATTAGAAGGATTGGATTGTATGGCACAACCCATCTGTTGTCCAACCATTCCCTTCTTATTTTCACTTTTTGTCCATCATCTCTCCTTCTATAAATAGGATACGAGTTTTTCCTTGCTGGTTGGTTTCACAAAAGTCACGGGGATAATGAAAGCGACAATTACCATCTATCATACATGGGCACTTACGGTTGAGGACACCACATGGCCCATGCATCATATGTTTGCACACAAGTCTATGCAATTCTGGATATTTCTTCTGACCAGGAAGCTCTGCTGATATGTACTTGTCATAATCATCGGGAGTACGTACCTTGCTCTCGTCTTGCATAACCAAAAGGAAGTGTTCATGTGGTAATCTCCTTTTCTAAAACTCAGTGACATGTGCCCATGCAGCGACCCTACCCAAATGATGCCTTTTAAGAAGGAAATCTTCGAGGTCTCGTAGCTTTGCTCTATAAACCCTTGCCACTATATCTGGACGATCTTGCGGCATTTGACCTGGCAATAACTGTTCTACTATCTCATCCCAATATGGGTTGGATGTCATTGTCACAAAAAAATCTTGCTTTCCATATCGAGTAATCAAAGCCATGGCATCCATATATCTTGAGTGGACATCACGATCACTTCCTGGAAAATCTTTTGATAGTATAATTCTACGACCAGTTTGTGACGCACGGGTTTCTCCAGCAGCGAGAGTGTCTAGAAGGCCTTGGTGAATATGTGTTAAAAGATTATTAGTATTTCCTTGGGTTTGAAAATAGAAAATCAACTTTTAAACTCAAATACATCTAACCTGGTATAGATCAGCACGAATTAGATCTTGATGCGCCAGTTTTGAGTACAAGTCTAACCGCATTGACTCCACCTTCACATAGCTATCAACGACCCATTGCTGGAAAAGCCTTCCACCATGAAACATGACATTAAATTCTCCCTCACAAATTTGTAGCTTGAAACATTGATATTCCCTAGCGCTGACATATTGTCGTGACTCCGTAATTTCTGTTCATAAGAACAAATAGATTAAATTCCATTCTGTTTTGAGCTTTTTGAATTACTAAAAAATATTATACCCTGTCCATCAGTTACATCTTCATTGTCATTTATATTCTTGTCCTTTGGAAGAGTTCCTACTAAAAAGTAACATTATCAAGTTGAGAACAAATAAATATGCTTTAAATACAAAATAATTTGCAAAGAAAAAACCTTGTTCTTTATGTACATTCTTCTCTGAGATATCATTGAGGTCAACAAGCGTTGGCCTGTAGAAAAGTAAGAATTTTTGTGAGTGGTTGTTAACGAGATTTTGAGGGTAAAAATTGTGTATGCAAATAATAGATAAAAGTCACCTTTTAGTACACGTTTAGTATATTTCCTCTTTGGTTTTGATGGAGGTGAGTCTTGATATAAAATCTTCTTATCCTCCCAACCAATTTCACGATTAGGGTTGAACATAGGGTATGCTAATGGATCATAGCATCCATAGTACGGCCTTATATAATAAGGTAGATTTTCTTTATTGTAAATGACTATGCTTCGCTCAAACCTTTGTTGTGGGTCATTTCCATCAAACCATATAGCAGCAACTTGTTCCATTGTAGGTGCATTATATCTTCTCTGGTCAACAGAAATACTTGTATTTAGCGCAATACTATAGCTATCCAAGTTGGAAAGAGTGCCAAGACTCTTAAATACTTGAACATATGGATTGTCTCGCATGATGTTCAATATAGAGCGGATCACATGAGTGTCAAGGTGTGGAGACCTTTTGATCCTATGACACATAGTCTCATCTGTGTCATAAAAGTACAATTGCATATGGCATGGTCCCCATTTATCAGGTACAAGTTGATCCAACTTGTGATATATTTGGCCATGAGCTTTAAATGTATAAATGCTAGTACCTTTCACTGTTGCCAAACTACGGTCAATGGAAACCCCCATACTGGTGAAAGAAAAGTGTGAATTGAAGTAACGAATGTTCCTTCTAAAATACTTAGCATCCCAATCAGTTTGACTTGTGAACAATCGATGGAGCTCATTTGGCACCTTTGGTATAAATATACTAACATGTCCGTTCTGACAACAAAATGCAGGACCTTCACCTTCAAATCTCTTTGCACGACAATAAAAACAATTCTGCACTTTTTTCAATACATGATGGGTCTTTGGAAGACCCGCATACACAAACTCATAAGGATCATGGCCTTTCATTTTTGTCGTGGGTTCTTGCCGGGTATCGATAGTAGGGATACCCAAAGCAAGGAAGTTAGCACCCACGCTGACTTCCCCAGATGGAGCAAGACATATTAAAGAGGTCTCGCCCGACCCCTTGGACGCAGTTTCCATCTCGCTCGACCCCAAGGACGCAGTTTTTGTCTCGCCCGCCCAATCTAACCGCATTGACTCCACCTTCACATAGCTATCAACGGCCCATTGCTGGAAAAGCCTCCCACCATGAAACATGACATTAAATTCTCCCTCACAAATTTGTAACTTGAAACATAGATATTCCCTAGCGCTGACATATTGCCGTGTGTCGGGTTCATAAACCTAGGGGTCCCTAATAGACCTGCTTCCCAGCAAAAGCTCGGCCCAACAGACGACGTTGCGAACGGCGCGTAACTCCTAGGCCGGCTCAGATACCTAACGACAGGTCGGAAAGGCGACCCAGTCTCTGACCAGAAGGCCTGGCCATGGAGGGATGACGCTCGCTTCTGACTCCAACCTGCCTCTCCAATCAGAAGGCCTGGCCAAGGAGGTACGATGCTCGCTTTCGACTTCGACCCGCTTCTCCGACCGGGAGTACACCGAACCTCTACTTATACCTCTTCCCCGACTGGTGTGGTTGGAGATGACTGGGAAACGACCGAACGGGGATGCCCTTTCGGTAAGGACCTAAAGAATCAGGTGGAGCAAGTAAGGTAGGGCTCTCAAGTCAACCGCAATACCAAGGACCGTACTCTGCACACCTACAAGACAGTACTATCAGGACATGTCAGAAAGGAGCTCTGTGACCTTCCAGATGCGTTAGAACACGAACAATGTTATGGGCGTCGACATTTGTCCTACAGTATGGTAGGCGCCGACATTGGCCAGGCTAGAAGAACACGATGGAGCCTACCACATACATCTAGGCATCAACAGTATTGTGGGCGCCGATAAACCACCTTATACCCGATGGCGTGGGCAATAAGACTAGGTAGCACACACACTCTCTTTCTCACACACTCTCTCTCTTGTAATGCCATCCCCTTCATCTATAAAAGGGGATGTGCTCTCTCCAAAAGGAGCATGATTCAGACGATTCGGACAGCCAACGAAGGATCGATCCAGTGAACAACAGATGAATCATTCTGACTCACTCTCTGCTAGCTTTAGACATTCTAAAGCTACACAGAGCATACGTTCCAATACTTAGTGCACGTAGGAGCTCCCGTCACTCTTAGCCCTTCGGTCCAGAGTTCGACCGGACCTCTAATACCCCCATCTTACTCCCTCTTGTTTGTAACCCCACAGCAAACTTTGAGCTCCTAGGCTCAGGAATAAAGTCACCGACCGACTCAAACTGGACGTAGGGCACGTTGCCTGAACTAGTATAAACCCTGTGTGATTGAGTGCTAGGCCACATCCGATCACAACGTACGGCAAAACTACAAATATTTACTAGTTGGTCACTTTTCGCACCGACAGTTGGCGACGTCCGTGGAGATCACGCTGTACGTTCATGCCTTTGGTCATCGGATGGCCCACCTGTCCCCCATCTTCGGCATGTCGGGCTCAAGCGATACAACTCGCTTCGGCTCGCTGGAGTTTCCTGCGCTCCCACCTGTTGGGATGTGGGTTCCTCCCGTCTTCAAGCCGTCTCAGGCCTTCCTCTTCAGAAGCCTAGACTTCATCGCTGACCGGCTCAGCGTGCTTCACCTCCGCGAGGAGGCACTTGTCCTAGCGCCCGTTGGAGGAGGAGCATCCTCCGTTGGCTTTGGGACACCCGGTGACTTCAACAATGAGGCGCCTACGCTTCACTCTGAGCCTACGCTAGGCTCAAACCCTGCTGTGAGTAACGTATATATTATTCTTTACTCGCTATTATATATCTTCCGCCGACTCTCCGGAGGGACCCTGTTGTCCTCGCCGTGACCATCATGTAACCGGTTGCCCTACGGCCTCGCGTCTCTCATGGACGCGTACGCACGGGGGCTCCGAAGGATGCTGGCGCTGCCCCCTCTCACATCCAAATTCATGGAGATGGCAAGCTATGCTCCTGCCTCTTTCCACAACCTCATGGATGATGTGGTTTAGAGGGACGGCTCCAGCATCGGTGACATCATGGCACCTAGCCACCCTCTGTCCCAGGAGTGTGCTATGGCGGATGCTCTAGGACAGCCATCGGTGGTAGCGAAGTCTCTACAGACCCACACCCCTCCGGACCCTCGCGCGGAGGCCCTCACGTGTGCACAGGAGCACGGTGAGGAGCTACAACAAAGGCGATAGAACCAGTCACCACCTACGTCAGCACGCGTAACCCGACGAGCGGCGCCTAGGGTCACGCCCGTTAGGTCCAGCGCAACATCATGGTTGGGGGGAACGATCCCCCATAGTTCGCTCGAGCTAGCCAGAACATCACCATCGCAGCGATGCTCATGCGTGGCTTCCGGAGCCTATCGACCCCCAGGAGCAGGCGGTCCACCGGAACCTCCAGGCGCTGGTGGAAACCATCGTCGTTCAACAGGCGGAGAGCTCCGTGTCGTGACACCGACTCACGGCCTCTCTCCCCACCAGGGGAGCGAGGACGCACCAGACAAATCGCTCCATCCTCTCACCACTAAAGTCGTTGGGCGCGGAATAGGAGGCCGTAGCTGCACCACGGCCTGACCCAGTGCCCGCTCCACATTGACCCCCTATGTGCAAGCGGCTCGGGCCAAACCAAGATGCTCGTAGCATCATCAACAACCAGCGTCAAGCCCGGCATGATGATGACGTCCATCGAGGGGCAGTGAGAGCAGGCGACATGGGCCACGGCCGGACCATCGAGGGGAGCGGTGAAACGTGCCCTAGGCATGGTCATCGACCCGACGACCGGAGTCCCAGCCTGGATGGCCCGGGACCATGGGCCTTTGGCCGATGCATCCAGAGAGCACCTTTCCCGCAGCACTTCTGACCGCCTACCAACATCGCCAAATATACCGAGGAGACGAATCCCAGTATATGGCTCAAAGGCTTTCGGCTTGCCTGCCGAGCCGGAGGAGTGGATGATGACCACTTCATCATTCAATGCCTCCCCTTCTGCATGGGGGAACATGTTCGAGTGTGGCTCGAATTCCTCCCGCATGACAGCATCCACGACTGGGTGGACCTCTAGAGGATTTTCGTTGGGAATTTCCAGGGGACGTATGTTCGCCTGGGGAACTCCTGGGACCTCAAGAGCTACCATCAAGAGCCCAACAAGTCCCTGCGAGATTACATCTGTTGGTTCTCAAAACGATGCAACTCCCTTCCTGATGTCGTCGACATAGACGTCATCAGCGCATTCCTTTCTGGAACAACCTGCGAGTCCCTGATCCACAAGCTTGACTGTCTAAAGCCTTGAACCACGCGTGACCTGCTCGACGTCGCCATGAACCAATCCTCCGGTGAGGAGGTGGTCAGAGTGGTTTTAGTGGAGGCTAGGACAAGGGCAAGGCCAAGCATGAGTACCAAGATGAGGGCCCCTCCACACAAAGGGGCAAAAAGAACAACAAGGATCGACGCCAACTGGCCAACTCCGCGTTGGTTGCCGTGGCTGATCGTGCGGGCAAGCAGCCCCAGCAGGGCCAGCCTGACCACTTTGACAAGCTCATGGATAGCCCATGCACCAACCACGCTTACCCCGTCAAGCACCTCTATAAGGATTGCGAGCTCCTCAAGCGCTTCCTACGACAGTCGACGGGCCAAAAGAAGGAAAGGGCAAGGAGGCAGCAGCTAAGAAAGGAGGCACGACAGGCAAGGATGGGGACAGCTTTCCCGATCCCGAGGAATGCCTCATGATCTTCGGGGATCCTACGCCATCTACTCCAAGCGCTAGCACAAAGTGCACTACAGAGAGGCATGCGTTGCTGAAACGGCCGTCCCCTCCTTCCTTAGCTGGTCAAAATCTTCGATCACTTTTGATCAGAGGGACCATCTATCCCATGTCGCTAGACTGGGTCGCTACCCGCTCATCATCGACCCCATTGTTCGCAAGAAGCGCCTCACCAAGGTGCTGATGGACGGGGGCAGCGACCTCAACATCCTCTACGTCGACACCCTCGACGCCATGCGCATCCCCCGGTCGAAACTCCACCCAGTGAGCTCTCCCTTCCACGACATAATCCTAGGGACGTAGGCATACCCGCTCGAGCAGATCGACCTGCCCGTCATGTTTGGTGACCAAGCGAACTTCCGCTCGGAGGTCCTTACCTTCGAGGTGGTGGACTTCCCGGGGTCCTACCACGCCATCTTGGGCGCGGCCATGCTATGCCAAGTTCATGGCGATCCCCAACTACACCTACCTCAAGCTGAAGATGCCGGGACCGAACGACATCATCACCATGGGTAACACTTTTTCGCACGCCTACACGTGCGACCGCGAAGCATTTCGAGCTCGCCACTGCCATCATCAACTCAGCTGAGCTCCCTTATGTAACAGAACCGACCAATTATACGAGATTAAGTAAGAAAATCTTCCGTCGAAGCAGATAATTTAGCAAACTTAAGCCCGTATAACCTGGTAGTCCGTGAAACCATGAAGGATTTCAAACCAATCGACATACAAACCAAGATCGTACAAGTTTAGCAAGTACCGTCACACGTTACATAAAGTTCGCAATCACAGTTCGGTACATCAGAGTTTAGAACATAAATTTATTACAACCCAAGTTCAAACTGAAGTAGCGGAAGCAAACGGTTTTAAAGCCACACACACA